GACAAAATAATTCAAGACAGTTAATTTTTTATATTTTATATAGAGTTTTTATTGCCATTTTAAACTTCCAATTTGAAACAAACAGAATTTTGAATGAAGTTTCATTGTATTTTAAAGAAACTCAGTCATTCTGTCATTGTTCGTGGAGATACGAACGATTGATATATAAATTATATAAACTGATAAATATAAAATATAAAAAATAAATCTCCCACCTGTCTTCGACATTTCAAAGTGTAGACTCAACCTCGCAAGCAAGGGCCTCAACACCCGCGGCGGGACGGAGACCCTTGCTTGCGAGGTTGAGTGTAGACTGTGTCTAGTGATGTGCAAGTCTATACTACGGATTCAACATCAGTCAACAACCAAACTGAAAGTATTGAACCTTATAGAACGATAGTTTTTATTTGTTTACAACTATACATATTCAACGGTTATATAAGAGTTTAACTGTTATTTGATAATTACTGCTGCATCAACCGGCCCCTTGTTTATACTTTGTAGGTTTGTATATATTAATATCTATCAAGTATCTTTGGTTCAGAACATGACTGATAGGCCTATATGGAAATCCCACTGTTCGATTCAGTGAAGAAATATCTCCTAATTTCTATTGATAGTTTTAGTAAAATGTCAACATTATTGCGATTTATGGCCTTTGAAAGTCAAGCGAGATAGTATATTATCAAATTAATACGCATGTAATTGTCTGAACGAAAATATAGACTAGCCCATACCTTTCGCCGATCATAACTTCGGCCCCTTCGGACGGATCTTCTTTGTTAAATATTCTTGTTCGAATCTCTATCAATAACACTATTTAGAGTGTTATTTTTCAGCTTGTATCTTTTAATTTGCTTCTTTTATTATGTTATTCCATTTCTGGTCTGACTTGACGTGAACTACTTTCAAAACGCAGAGTTTCAAAACGTCAAAACATTTGGTTAATGATTAACATTTAACCTAATTTAGCCGTTGATTGACAACTACATAAAAATACTAACCAATCCGTTTTTCCCGTTCACCAGCGGACGGGTAATTCAAAAACCCCTAGTTTTGCGGCAGACGGTATTTCCTTTGCTTCCCTAATTTTCGCTGCCCGTAGAAATACCGCCTGCCATGCAGGCTAGCCTTTACCAGACCTCCCGATTTTTGGAGATGTCAAGTTGGAACGTCTGCAACTGGCTCAAAAGGGAAGGTGCGAACGAGACTATATAGGAGTCCCATGCAAGGCATGTCTATACAGTGTATAGTCCCCATGCAAGGCAAAAACTATATACTGTAGGAGTCCCATGCAATGCAAAGGGTCAAGGTGCGAACGAGACTATATACGGTATAGGAGTCCCGTGCAAGGCTGTGAATATTAGTGATATGCATATTATTATTCTATGTGTACAGACAGGAATTGCTTGTATACTGCCCCTAAATCGAAAATAAAAAATCGGACACTGTCAATCAATGAGAAATATAATTTAAAATCATCATACCAAATTTCATGATGATTGGACTCAAAATGATCAAAGGAGCCTTGGGATTTTTTCAAAGAGCGTTACCCCCTAACAATGACAACAACAACAAGAAGATTAGCAGCGATTGGGGAACCATTTCCTACTCCAATGATAGTGGTTGCCATGGTAACGTGAAATGTACAATGCTGAGCTTGTACTCACACATTTTGCTATGTTCTCATATTTATACCCTGGTGTAACTAGACAGAATTATAGCACCGTCTGGCGGACTACTCTGGCCTGTTGCCAGGAATGGCACTGTTGGCTCAGTGATTACTAAGTTGGCAGATTTTGTGGTAGATACATACTGTAGCTGGTGATGACCAAATATGAACACAATGTATTATTGTGTTGCAATTTAGATTTTAAAAGTTAAATAATATACAATTGCTTGTTATGGATGTATGGCTAAATTGAGAGTATAAATAGTGTTAAATGGTCAGCAATATTTTGGCCGGTTAAATGCGTATAGTCGCTTGGACTTGTAACAGACTCCTGCAGCCAGAGTGTACAATGGATAAATTGTCAGTGACATTATACACTGACTCAACTACCTCAGGAAATGTTGATTGTGTTGAGTATGAATAAACATACAGATTTTGGAGTATTTTTCAGTTATACTGTACTCAGGGTTCTCATGGAATTCAATATTTCAAAATCCAGACCTGCAAATCCTGGACAATCAGTTTAAGTCATGGAAAATTGGAATTTGACAAGAACATTTTTTGGAGAAAATTGGAAATGAAGTTCCTATAAGTGCATGAAAGGGAGGAGTGGTGTGCATTAATGGGTTCAACAAATAAAGGCAGTTTTAATTCAGAATGGGTTGTCTTTTAAGATACTATTGCCACAAGACAATGTTTAATAAAAACATGCTCACCTATTCATAATGCTGATTTGATGCTACTGTATGCATGATGTACTATCTATATGACACAGATATATACCACAACTCATTTTATGCTTTCTATTTGAAGCCGAGTTTCAGTCTTTAAATTAAACAGATGTTGATCTGTACCATATTGTTAATAATGGGTTTCAGAGAATAACCAAATTATAAATTTTGACAGGGGTGTGGTCTATCCCCTCTTCAGTTTTGTGAAGCCTCTGCCCCCTTTGTTTCAGTTTTAATAACAAGCCTCATCCCAAAACTAACAAGTGGTTCTTGCTTTCTTGGAACAAGTATTGAAACAATTCCCATGCAAATTACTTTCACCCTATACTAAACCTGATCAATTTTCTATTTCCAAAGGTGTCTCCCAACTGTGAGAGTTGTTTAATAATTTTTGGAAAATATTACTGTGGTATTTGCCGCTTATTTGATGACAGAGACAAAGGACAGTTTCATTGTGATGACTGTGGAATTTGTAGGTAAGTTTGAATGGTTTCAGAAATGTGTTTTGTACTGATTCTTTAAAAACCCTTCAATAACACCATTTTATGTTTATGTCCAAGTATATCAGGCATCTGGAATCATGAAACCATGCAATGTAATCAGCTTTAGATATTGTATGATTAAATATAGATATGCAGTAAAGTACCATTCTTGATCATTTTTCACTTCCAAAATTTACTATTTTTTCCACCGAGACATGCATAGCCCAATTGCGATTGCTTTGGGATAATTCTCGAAACAAATGAGAATTTGATCTAATATATTTCCTTCTTGATGGCATGATATAATGTAGGGTTGGAGGACGAGATAAATTCTTTCATTGTGGTAAATGTGGCATGTGTTTAAGTAAATCCATTCTTGATTCTCACAAGGTATGACTACATATCTTAGACTTAGTAGTGCAGGCCTTAAAATATCTTTTACAGGGCCGTCTGACAAAATGTCCGATGAATTCGAGTTTTGGTCGGACACACGTATGATGATGTCCGATGACCTTCAGTTCAGAAAATTAATTAATTTGTGTCATTCAGACTTATTTCTGATACGGAAATAAGTCTGAATGACACAAATTAATACCAGCACAATGTATTAATTCTGAACTAAATCTTATGAAGATATTAAATAAAATGTGTCGTTCATGCTTACTTCCAAGCCAAAATTAACTTGCTTGGGTGCATTTTGATTTACAAAGCTACAGTTTGGTCAGACACCAATACACTCGGGTCGGACAAACAATAAACCTCAGTTTCACTTAGATCGGACAGAATGTCCGGTGGTTTCCTCACTACGTCGGACAATCTCACGAATGGGTCGGACAATGTCCGTGACCGACCGATATTTTAAGGCTTGAGTAGTGTACTGTACTGTACACATACAGTATCTTCATTAGTTATTATTTGAAACTTACAAAATGTTTAATGCAATAATGAACATCGAAAATAAAATTTATTATATTTGTAGTGTTTGGAAGAAAGTTCCAGAAACAATTGTGCTATTTGCTTAGAGGTATTGATTATGTGCTGTTTTTAACAAGTACAGATTTTAAAATGTTGCAAACATGATATGTTTATCAGTCGTTTTCCACATACGACTTTATTTGTAGACTGTAGAATTGTTTATTTCATTGAGTGTTAAATATACTTACAGTAAAATACTATTTACTGAACTTTTCAACTTAGGATCTACATACCTCTACAATTGCAGCTCATGTTCCAAAATGTGGTCATCTTATTCACTCGTAAGTTAGAAATTTTGGCTACTATTTGTGCTTCAGTACTCAGTGGATAATTTACCACTAGTTTTATCCTTTAATACAGGTTAATTTTATCCATTGCAAGTTTGTTACCAGACCATCAATACCAGACCGCAATTCCGAAAGTAGCGAGCCCCTTCTACTTTCGGTTTTATGCGCTGGAATTGCTTACAGAAGTAAAAAAAGTAGAAAACGTTAATCTTTAGAGTAGAAAACGTGCATGTTTTCATACTATATTTGGGAATGTATCGAAATCACCTGGGCCAAGAAAAATACCAGGTTTCTTTTCTTTTTTAGAAACGTTCATCTTTAAAAAACGTCTAATTTCACAGAAAATAAAATTTCTTATTTTTTTTATTTTCGCCACGAAGTGGGTACGAAAAATTGCTCCCAGTTCTTTGCAAGCTTCAGTAAAAAATTTGGTGATATCTAACATGAAAATAGAATTGGGAAGCCTAGTATGTATTTTTTTCTTGGCCCTGTTCTATCGAAAATTGCGTTACCAATGAATAATTTCTATATCGCCGTAAAATTAACGAGTTGTTATATATTTCTATTTTCCGTCTGCTTACCTTAGGACTTGTTACAGTGACCTACTTCAATCTGGGTAAGTTTTAAAGATTGTATTGACCGCTCTTGCCCAGTTTTCTCCGCATGAAATATTAAACTTACCCACTGCTGCTAATCTATACAACATGAATCAGTTTCATATTTAAATGTTCCAAAAAATGTTTTATATCATTATGTATTTGAATATTGAGATTCCACAAACCAGTTACTGTCCGACTTCTCAGTGCGCTGGTGTATGAGAATGTACGTGGCTGGGGTATTTATTCTAAAAATTTTATTCACATACTTTATTACTGTATTTTGTAAAGTGGATACACATGTCCAACATGCAACGAATCCTTGGTAGATATGTCTTCAACTTGGAGTAAATTGGATTCTACGATTGCACAAACTCCAATGCCTCCGGAATATGCGAATATGGATGTGCGAGTGAGTGAACAGTATATAATTTACATACAGTAAAATCAACCATTACGTAAAATTTCCAGTGTATAAAAGTGATCAATGTTGATTGGCCTTTGGTGATTGGCTAGCGCGTTCGATGCACTCTAGATTACTGCAGGAATGACGAAACGAACTGCTTCGAGCACTTGTCGACTTTATGACATTGTTAAGCTTTTAAGAGGACTTATAACCTTACATTTTCCGAGCTTTGATGACCTTTCAATTTTGATACCCTTTCTGAAATCAACGTTGATGACTCATAATAGTCGATCAATAATTCATCGACGCACGCCAGCCTCTATAAAATCAGTACAAACAGAACTGCGCTTTTGCTACCTGAAAACCACAATATCCAGTCACTCTTTAGTAGTTGAGGTTAGTCCCAAGTTTTTGTTTCAGATTCAGTGTAATTTTCAGGTGGTACTTTTTGTAAGACTTTGAAGGCTTTTCACAGGGTTCGTACTTGAAAGTCATTCAATGTCCTTGAATTTGAAAATAAAAAGCCTTGCATTTGTAAAGAAGTACTTGAAAGTCCTTAAATTTTTCTTGCTTTAGTTTTTGGATATTTCCTGAAATTGTTCGGCATTCAAAACGGACATTTTGTTGAATTGATTTTGCATGTTCATATCGGACAAAGCTGTTTGAAACTCATTAAAGTTGCAAAAATTCAACGTCAGATTTTACTGATTGCTAACCCCTTTTTCTTCAGTATTTAGCTCTTGAATTTGCGGACACATGACCTTGAAAAGTCCTTGAATTTGACTCTTCCTCACATGTATACAAACCCTGTTTTCAGTTACAAGAAAACAACATTCCCTAATATGACCGGGAATTCTACGTAATGTTTTACTCAGGGTTTTACTGTCGCGCCATGATCAGCCCTGTGAGGACATCGTCTCAATCAGAACGATTAAATTTGACTGGTGACATCAATCAGTCAGATCATGCCGAAGCTGAAAACATTATAGAGAGGAGCCGAAATAATTGTAGTTATCGAGAAAATTTTGAAAACAGTGCGACATTTTGAGAACAGTGATGCTCAGAGTCTTAAAAGTCTTTGTACTTTGATTCGTGTACTGTACATTATCGTTTTAAAAACTGAACAAAACGCTTAATTTTATTTTAGGTTCTTTGTTGTGACTGTCACAAGGTAAGAACTGGGGCCTCATCAAAGTTAAACGTTCGTATACGTACGTGTGTACTAGGAAATAACTAAATTAATAAAAAGAAAGTATTAAGGTGTGTGCATGAAATCTAACGTATATTGCTGTCTTAGTACTTATATAAAGTTAGGAAGATTCAGTTCATCAGACAAAGTCTGCGTGTGTATTTTCACATACATATGAAAAACACTTGACTGGAACACTGCTTTTACCGCATTTATTATTAGCATGACAAAATTACTGGATGCTGATTGGTTGAGAGGAGTACAATTATTTCATTAATTGTACTGCAGTAGAATTAATGATTTTCCCAAATCAAACAAAATGGCGGAAAGGTATTTTAAACACAAGCGTGAAATGAAATTGCCGTGAAGAAACTAGATGAAAATACGAACAAAAGCAGCAAATTTTGCTTGAACGAAAGAACTAAATGAAAATACAAACAAAAGCACCAAATTTTGGTTGAAAGTCTGGCAGGACTGGGCTTTGGCGAGAGAATATGATGTTGACATTGAGATAGTACGTATCCAATTTTGTCATGCTAATAATAAACAAGTAATCATGCGATGTTGCTCGTACAATTAGGGATTAATAGTACTCGTGATGTTTGGAAATTTGCCAAATCGGACTCGCCTCGGCGGCTCGTCCAATTTTGGCAAAATTTCCAAACATCACTCGTACTATTAATCCCTAATTACCTATACTTAAATTGGACTAAAAGATTAAAACGAATAAGATTTATGTTTAGAAAAACATTTATCAACTCATGCAGTGTACGAATAATTTACAGAAGCAAATACTAGGTACCGGCATTTCAATATATAGGACATGAAATTACAACCTGCTAACTTTTGTCATCTATTTTCACATGCAGTATTGTATGTCCTATTATACATCGCTTGACTTGCGGCCTAGGCCGGGCGGCCCTCAGGACACCTCTTCACCTACATATGGTAGTGGTGCATGTTCATTTATGTAATAATTCATGCATGGTATTTGTTATTTAGTATTCCATGGTAAAATTTCACATTATTGCTCTGAAATGTGGTGAATGTGGTTCCTACAACACATGCCGTGATGATGATGGTAATGCTCCTGTCAACCCTGCAGTTGCCGCAGCTGTAGTGGCTCAGGCTCAGAATGTTTTAGAGTTAGAAGTGCAGGAGGGAGAGGATGATGATGAGGATGGTGAGGGTGAAATAGGGGACGATGATGGTTCAGAAGGTACAAGTGACGACATGACAGATAATGGCGATGATGATGATGCCTCCCTTCGATCTGACTTGTCTTTAGACTAGACGTTAATATATAATTTGTTGAATTATTTAAGCGTTCCTTTATACAGCCTGGATTTAAACATCAAGTTTTAATACACCTTCAGTTACGTTTAATCTTCAACGGAATCTTCGCACGAAACTGACCACGGTTTAGAAGGATCCATAGCAATTAAATGATGCCCAGTCTAGAAGGACAATAATCAGACAATTCATTCTCCGAAACACGACATCGATCGCATCGCAAGAATGAATGATAAAATATTGATCAAAACACTGAATAACTCCTACAAGGATTCTCTCAAGCAAATGTTGGTTTCAGGTTTCATAGCCATGTTTCACAAGGAAGGTCGGGAAAACGTTTTATTTTATAAATAATAATAAACTTTATTTATATATAGCGCACAAATCCAAAGCTATTCAAGGCAATTTACATGATTTAAAAATAGAACTACTATATACAAACAAAGTAAGGCACCTAAAGTTATCTATATAAATAAAGATTTGCTACTAACAAATTTTGAAAAAAGATAAGTTTTAACTGACTTCTTAAAAGCGTAAACACTAGATGACTTGCGAATATCCAATGGTAAAATATTCCAAAGTCTAGGTGCACAAACTGAAAAAGCTTTATCACCATATGTCTTCGTAATAGTCCTCGGTTGACTTAATTAATAGTTCATTCGATACAGATCGTAGTGATCTTGAGGATTCGTGAAACTGTAGTAGATCAGTTAGATACCTGGGACTCATGCCATTGTTTGTTTTATAAACTAGCAATAAAATTTTTAAAACTATGCGGTAATGTACTGGCAGCCAATGCAGATAATAAGCAGCAATATTTATAGGAAGTACAACTGCGTTTCCAGCGAAGGCCCTTCGTCGGGAAATTAGTAAGCTACAGTACTTGGATGTTCTGCTTATATTCTGCATACTTCCCTACGCTGGCACAAACCGTTCAAGATTTTATATTAAGTAATATTGTGTACAATACAAAATTATAGACAAATGTATAAAAATACATTGATCATGAACACGACTAGACATGATTAAGACGGACAAAATGTTAAATAGAAGCCAGAAATTTTGTAAAAAGAGAGAAATTTTGCAAATGTGTCAATAAAACGTTCATGATCGGAGACGTTTTTAACAGGTCGGTCGGGAACCTGAAACCAACATTTTGTTTGGCCTACGTTATTCGTCCAGCTCGATAGGTTTTTATTGAGCGATTAAGAAGAAAAGTTACCAGCTAGAACTATATTGTACATAAACTAATTTCGATCATCAATTTTATCTGCGATTTTATTCCTAATTTTTAAAAAAATATGTGTACTATACTGTATGTGAACTATATTTATCAAAATTCATATTATGCAACAAGTATACAATGTAATTCGTACCTCTGTTGACCTTGCCTCAACTTTGATAACACAGTTTAAATTCCCACAATGGCTCACACAGTTCTGACTTTTATTGCAGTTCAACCTTACCATAACAGACTGACGAGACTAAACAAAAATTGCACTGGAATATAACGGTATGCCAAGGTAGATGAGATGGTGTCATGGTGGTTTTGAAACTGAAGAGGTTTCCTGCATGTGTTTCTGTCATATTAAGCTAATACTTCTTTCATACTTAACGTTCCAATTTTGATTGGGAGCCCAACTTAAAAAAGGGGCAAAACATTTGGAATCCCAAGGAGGACTATGCATCCCAAGATAATTACTATCGGCCAGCTGCTAGAACAAACTATGGCAAATTTTCATTTAAGTTTTTTGCTTCTCAATTATGGGAGACTACCCGTTTTCCTTAAATCACTCCCTTTTAATTCTTTCAAAAAGGAATATAAAAACTTTCTACTTTATAATCAGGAATAATCTACTACTTCAGATCTCTTCTACTTTATCTCGAATATTTATATATTAGTTTTATTTTCTTGTGTTTGATTGCTTATTTGTTATTCTATACTAAATAAATTGAGAGCTAAATCGGCTTACATTACTCTGACATTGCGGCAACCAGCTCGAAAGCTTTGCTCCTCTGGCTGTCGCTCACTACTACTTTTTTGGTTTGAAATTTCATATATTTAATTATCTTTAACTCCTACAATATACTTTATTTTTCTTCCTGTACTTTTTTTAAAAAAAATGTAATGATATGAAACAGTGTTATAAAAATTTTGAATTGAATTGAATTGACTCCTTACATACCTTGTTTTCGATAGCAAGACTGACACGTCGTTCATCATCGTAGCGATGCAAGATTAGATCACGCATGCGTTTGACATTATGTGTTGTAGAATTTTCAACTATGGACTGAACAACAGCCTTGTTTAAGATCTCCTTATTGTCATCAATCTTTAGTGCTTGCAATTTAATGTCACAATCACGGGAGTATATCTCTGTCACAAAGAACGCAACCTGGAAAATATATAGTACAAATATTTACATATACGATAATACCAGAGTCTTTCTCACCTAGTTTGGGTGATAATTTTGCGTTGGATGTCTTCACACTGGTGAAGTCTTTCATATAGTTTGTCGTTTATTTATATTTAGTTTGTGCGTTTCTTACACATATATCTGAATGTCAAATTGAAGACGTTGTATGTGTTTTGATATTCAAATTCAAGACCTATATGATCTTGAATTGTTGATAATGAGGTCATGAGTCGAAGACCAAAACTGATTGAAAACAATAGAAAATGGTGGTAAAATGATAGTCGATACACGAGCACGTACGAAATAGCAAACCTAAATTCTTTTCGCAATGTACGTTTGAAAGCATACCTGGTCAGGTTCTAACGCTTTGTTGTAGCCCATGCTGTTGAACGTTACCCACAAGTCATTGGGATCACCTTCAGCGTCACGTGCTTCCATCAAGTTTAAATCTAGAAAGCCTTTCAGCGTGATCTCACGACCATTCTTTGTATCAAAATTCTCTGTAAATAAAGCAGCAAAATTATTAATCCCACACGCAGTTTATGGAAAAGAGTCGATTTCGTTAATATATAGCAACCAATTATTATATAGCGATTTCTCACCCGTACACTACCCCCAAATCCTTACAATTCTCGCTTTAATCTTCATCCTAATCTAATCCTTAACCTTTTCCTATCCCTTATTAGTCTAACCCTTATACTAATATAACCATCTGCTTACCATCTGCTTACAGTAGGTCTATAGACTATACATAACCAATCAGAGCGCGGTGCATGTATATCTACAATCAAGTAAAACTTTCATGCTTGTCATGAGGATTTAGTTCTGTATCAGGCATTGACCACACTTGCTACACAATGTTCACTTGGATTGGCTGATTAGTTTAAAACCTGTCAACGGTTATGCTCATTACAAACAATGTTTTCATTCGCGACTGTTCATTCTTAGATGCAAACAACAGTAAATTACATACCAACCATGACTTCCCAAGCGCCATCGTCACATGACTCTCCACTGGTGCGCATTTGAAACACGTCAAATTCATGGCGACTCAGATAACCATTGCCATCCAAATCACAGTGGAGGAAAATCTCTGTTAACGCGTCTCTACGACAACAATGGATAGGATAAAGTATTGCATCCAGTAAAAACGTTCGTACAGTGTGTGTCACAATTATTCAATGATAGCCAGCTTACTTACTGTACGAGTGACGGACAAGTCTTACTTCTCGACATCGTGGGGTGCAAATTTACCATCCTTTCGTTGCAATTAAATAATTGGCTTAAATTTTATGCACATTTACTGTACATACAGTAGCTATCAACCCCTTCAGAAATTATGGGCGGGGGAGGTCACCCTGCCCATCTTGTACCCGCCACCGTTACCCAAATGGTATCTTGAACTGCCAACTACTGTACACTCGGGCACCACATCACACCATGCATTGTCACGCTTTTCGTTAAGTAACAAATGACCATATGTTAAAGAGGTAACCTCAACGGTACACCTAACCTCAGTATAAAGCAGGGTTTAATTAAAACACTTTGACGTTGTGAGGTAGTGCGTTTCGTTGGAGGTTTAGCATAGCGTCGCACATTCCAGACGAAGGTCATTAGCTCGAAACGTCAATGTGTTTTTAATGGTTTTCAAGTACGGTAGTTCAGACGTGCAAACCAATTTGTACCTTCATCATTAACTGTGCTTTTCAACTTACCTACAACGTTTTGTGAGTTCTATTTCTCCATTTACAGTTTTGATCAATTCAACCGTTCGTTTAGATTCAAATGATCGTGCAGATAACTGGCAGCCAGTAGTGAAGACTAACACATTGTACTCTCCAGGAGAAATGTCAGTTAGGACACAACTTCTCTGTGCATAAAATCAACGAAATAACTCAGTTACGGTGAGTCCTCTATTAAGCCTCCCTTCTCTAATAATCCCCTCTTCTATCGTGATTTAATAAAGGATTTAATTGAGGATTTACGATACAATGTATATGAAGTAAGCAATAAGAACCTTAATTAAAACGACCTGAAATCAAACTCGTATATCATGTGCAAATATAGATAAATACATGCCTCATCAACAATTGCTTGTGTAAATGCGACAAGTTCGCCTGAATCTGCTCTCACAACAAACAATGTGAAATCCATTTGACGATCTGCTGAAGCAAGGATATGTAAATTAAAAATAGGATGGATGGAGTGAATGTCATTAAACACGGCAACCTATCCGATATCTTATAAATACGGTATATGATCACTCTCCTACTCTATAAAATCTGCAGTGTGAAGCGGACGAGAATGATTCTACACTGTATGACCTATACAACTACATCGTTTGTTACCATTTTGCAAAAATCTGAACCAACTATAGGCACCTGTGAAAAAGAAGCGTCTTGAGCGTCTACTTAATAATGCAAAAAGTATGCGTTGCACTTAACTGTATTGCACATAAAAATTATTTCTCAAACGCAAAAAAATCCTCGAGAATTGTATCTTTCAAAACACACCTTTAACCAGGCTTTACTCTTTCTAATTGTGACGTGGGGCTTCGGTGGCGAAGTGGTTAGCGCACTTGCCTTTCACCTCTAAGGTAGCTACTTCTCAATGTGACTCGAACCTAGTCCTCATGTGAAAAGAGTAAAAGTCAACGCTCTGCCGAAAGTCGGGGGTTTTCTCCGGGTACTCTGGTTTCCTCCCACAGGGAAAGTTGACAGGGTGGGTTAGGCACTTAGGTCAGGGGGCAGATCATTAATGAGGTATGGACTAATAGCGGCTGCTCAATAGGGATGAGCCGATAAGGAAAATTGCCGATTACCGAGGCCGATTATTTATAAGCCGATTATTGTAACTAATCGGCCGATTAATCGGTACCCACCGATTATTTTAAAAAGCAAGCGAAAAATCACAGGATGGCCAACAATGAAGTTATAAATGCGGTTTTATTGTTTACAATACACACTTTGTACAATTAAAAACAGCTTCAGTCTCGCATGTCAATAGTCAAAGTTTAGTTTTGGCAGATTATGGTGTAAAAACAAGACAATATGCGGAGCTAGTCTGCTGCGCTTTTTTAGTGGAAATGTTCCCAGCTTCACTTCACTTGAGACGAAAGAAGGCACAGGTTTTGCAACAAAATGTGAAAATCTATTCGCTTGTATTCAGTATTTTAGCATGTGATTGGCAGCTGCAGAGAAAGTCTTATGGCCGATTATTTGCCGATTATCAGGCAATAATCGGCCGATTACCGATTATTTAAAAAACGGCCGATTAATCGGCTATGCCGATTATTTACCGATTAATCGGCTCATCCCTACTGCTCAAGCGCCATTTGTAAGCTCAAAGTCTACCTCGGCCTGCTTCACGTCAGTCCGGTTCAATCTATTCCCAATGTAACCAGTCAATGAAAAGCCCTGATAGGGAATGTGCTGTGAAATATCTATCTGTATGTGCAGTACGTCAACGAAGAGAACTTGTCAAAATATTCTGAGCACTTGCATGCAGTTGGTCAGCAATCTATTGTTGTAATGGCTAATAATAGCTATCGTGGAGGTCAGAAAACCAAAAACTTGTCGTATAAAATTTATTGAACATACACACGTGCACTTGGCAAATAAAACTTGCCATATAAAAACTTGTCATAGAAAACTTGCTCGTCTGTAACCGGCTTAAACTAAGATGTAAAACATTCTCAAATTCACCTTGAAAGTTTCCATGAATGGTTAACCAGAGTTTGGTACTGGATGGTATTTTAAGTTTATAACAATGACTGGAAAATTTCCCACCACCTTCAACAACAACAAAACCTTTTCGTGTTTGAAAATCCCAATCCTACAATGGAAAAATAGGAAATGCGTATGCATTTTGTCATAATTCCTACATCCGTATTTATAATCACACTACTTAAAAACCCAGTGTTCAATATTCATCTTCCACCCCCAAAATACTTTATTCATGCATGCAATCTTCCCGTTGCCTTATTCCAGTTTCCATTGTTTATCCTGTTGCCTTCATAACACTGCTGTTCGTTAGAAGTGTAGACCTGATACTTGCTCTTTGCTGTAAATTCTAGTTCCATACCTAACGAAAGAATACTACTTGTCGCCTATTTTAACCTCAATGACCTTTTTGACATTTTTATACGAAAAGGACTAATGGTAATGAAATAGTGAAACGCTCTCGAAACAATGGACACAAGTTTCGACTACTGTATATCTTGCAAGGCATTCATCATCAGAAATGTTCAATATGTACAATAATGTTTTGTATTTTCTAAAATTACTCGGCAACTATACCGTTTGGCTTTGGCCAAACACCTCATATTCTGTATGCATGTGGAGAATTTTTAATCCAACCTTGAGATTTTTAGGTTCTTTTACAGCCTTCCCTGTTGTTCGTGGGGATTTTGGTGGTTTGCCTTGAACACTATTGACATTGTTGGATGATGATTTTCTCGATAGTGAACTTGATCTTTGTTCTCTTGATGTGACGTCATCTTTCACTTTCTTCTGACTGAGCTCTTTACATCTTTCAGCAGTAGACATCAACAGATCACAAAACTATAGCGGTACATACATACATACATAAACATTTAATTATTATTTGACTAGTGCGGTTTGTGTTTCGGAAAGCTTAAACTTCCACGATTCTCCACTGTAAGTTCCTCTTGCTCTAACTTTTACTTAATATAACTTTAAGTTTACGCCAAAAGCCAGCATTCACTTTCGCATAAATGAGCAATTTATTTCGAACTCATTCTACGGCCGTACGCGGGGTACAGTATATAGTGCGAAAATGTGTCAACAGATAACAGTCAAGGCTTGAAAACAATGTTTAAAATTTGTTTTTCTTTCGTCGTTGTTTAGATAGAGAGGTTCAACCGCTACCGTTATTAACCAATTAGCCTTGTTCACGGCTGATTTTTCCGCCATTTTGGGGGTACTGCTTCTCCCACGTTCGAGAGTCGCCGCATGCACCACGAAATACAACTTATTATTATAGTTGTTTGTATAATGGTAATTTACAGTTATAACTTTTAAAAGTCGCTGTTCACGTTTTTTTAATTGTCTAGAATCTTTCACGAGGGTAGGCAGTACCCCCAAAATGGCGGATTTTGGCCTTCGTGAGAAAGGCAATTGTATTCACTTAATCGATCCGATTAACCAATCAGGCAATCAAATGCGTACTGTCTAAGCCTGTGAGAGGTAGTGAAAGTCATATCTGAACCTCTCTATTACTAAAACGGGAATTCATGGTTTTTGCCGTTGTAGCCGTGAACACAACGAGTGCATGTTTATCATTTACAACATGTAACGTATATAGTTGTAGATGTATTCCATGCGACGGGCTTTCTTAACAAAACACGTAATAACCTGCAAGATGGAAAGTTCTAACATATGAGTTATTCCAAACCTCTTCATAATCTAAACGACCATCTCCATTATCATCTGCTTCATCAAGTATATCTTGAACCTCAGATTCACTCATTCTCTCTCCATACTAAAATTCACAACCACAGTACATGCATCATGAACTACGTCCACGGTTAGCTACGGTTTACAGCGAAAATTTATAGTCAGGGCCAGGGTTGTGTGCACCTATCGAAGGGCAAGGTGCATCATCACTGTAGCAACAAAAATGTTCATAGGAAACAGCACTATATATTCTATATTAGATGCAGAGAAGCTATAGAGAACCATATTTACCGAGAAGGAAAATCAGTCAAGACTTGCACGGATAGTTTTAACTGGCTGGGGCAGTGGGGGCTAATTAAACTAACATTGCAAATATCAATCGATCATAAGTTGCACTTTTATACGAATTATTTTAGTTTTGTTTCAAAATTGATTGTTCAAAAACCGGCTAGCTCAACCCTGGGTTACATGTAACATGAAATTCAAAGCATACTTCCCAGCATGCAGCTTGTTTATAAACTTGGAAATATTTTTTTTCAGAAATTTTGTCTGGATCATCAGAAAATTTTAAATAAACAGACATATACAGATATACATAAACCATAGCCTGCGAACAGGCTCTCAAGCTGAATTGAGAGCCTGCATCGATGACTAATGAATTTGAATATCTGCGTCTCAAATCGTGACGCGAAATTCTCATTGGTCAGATGCTATAATTTATATGTTTCCGCTGAGCTCTATATATGTCAACTGCTGAAGCACTATGCATAAAAAACACATTAACTGATCAAATTGGTCTTGGCCATCTTATCTCAAAGCACGAAGTGTTCTGTTTTGAGAAAACAGTATTTAAAACATTTAAACTTTTGCTTGAATATCTTATATTTCGAATAACAGTACAAACTGTACGGTCTAAATTTAGTTTGCACGGTCTAAATTTAGTTTGCACGAAAGTTGTAAACAACACCATATAAGGATAGGCATTTCATATTTGGAAAAACGAACGTTACGGGGCAGATATTCAAATTCATTAGTCATCGATGCAGGCTCTCAATTCAGCTTGAGAGCCTGTTCGCAGGCTACATAAACCAAAGCAATGGGTTCAATTTAACCACCGGTTAGCGCTAATCGTGCTTTGACCATGCAACTGGCCCCAGGTGAGTTACATGCAGTTACAATTATATTTACCATTGTGAGAGCTTTCTTGAGCTCGGAAAACGAGATAAAGCCATCATCGTTTATATCCATCTTTTTAAAAGCATATACAAGATCATTTTTGCTATTTTGCTTTTCTTGCTTCATTATTTCACAAAATTCTGAGTATGATATGGATTCTGGAAATACATGTTGAATTATAAATATGTTGTGTTTTGAAACAGATACAAGTCAGAATAATCAAATTTTAACAATGCTGTACATTTTACCTGTAGAATATTTCCAGTGTTTTTTAATGGATTTTTGTGTTGGATTTCGACCAGAATATTGAAGTGCTAAAACAAATATTGATGTTCTATATAGTACTCTATCAGTATTTCAGATAATTATAATAGGTGAAATGAGTAAACCCAAGTGAGGTATAAAGCAGGTTATTAAGATTTTGCAAGTGGTGGGGCCATCAAGGAAAAGGCCCTAATAAGGAGATAATTAACTGGAAAGGTGGGAACTTCCACAAGGGTCTAGGGTCCCCCCCCCTCTTTCTCTAACCTCTGGGGCTTGGTTTTCAGCATTTTTATAGGCAAAATGTTTCAAATTATATATTTCATCTGGTAGAAAAAGGTTAAGTCATGGGAATGCTAAAACACTCTTCTTAAACTAAACTTTCCTTCTCTTTTCTGCATATATTTGAGACAGAAGGGACCTTCACCAAGAGGAACAATATAGTTCACTTGGGGGGGGGGGGGGCGGAGGGCAACATTGGGGCTGGGGTTACTTTGCAAAGTCCAAAACTTGTGCGAACAGTTGAGGGAACTACAGGAATACATATTAACAACATATGTATTTTATTTCTAGCCAATGGGTGATGATGTTGAAAGATACATTTACCTCATATTATCAAACATCATAAAATTGCAAATGAAATGGGCCCAAGAAATCGCAATTTTGAAAACCGACTGTACTACTTTCTTTATACGTACATTAAGTTAATCCCAACATACCACAAAGGACTGAATTAATCACAATAAACACTAACCATTATCTTATAGACCCCTTGCCTTGTTTACATTTTGCTCCCAATCTCCCTAGCACCATACCCTTAGCAGCATTGTGTGAAAATTTAAAAGGCCTAAACTTAAAAGGCCAAACTTCAAAAGGCCTGAACTAAAATTTAAATTAAAATTTTAGATTAAAATTTAAATTAAAATTTTAATTTAAAATTTAAATTAAAATTTTAAATTAAAAGGCCTACATTGAAATTTAAAAGGCCTAAACTTCAACAATGAAAAATATAAAATGTCTGCCTGCTCATTGACATTGTTCATGAAATGTGTATACTTGATTTTTTAAGGCAGCATTGAATGGATTTTAGGGCAGAATGAATGGTCAACAAACTTTAACATAATGTTAGTTTTCATCATGGAAAATTTTATTTATTCACATGTCTTATCACCTATTAACCTGCGATCAGGCGTTCTTGGAGTAATTAACGCCTGATACAAACGTTTACTAATTGGTTTACCGCCCATCACCACACTTTATTTGAATTTAGCCAATCAAAATGCGCCTGAAGTAAAAATAATCGCGTACAAGGGAAAAGCCATCAAAGTTAGATAGTAACTTTGTAATTGTTCGACCAAAATATCGAAATTCGAAATTCCAGTTTACATTTTTCCTAATAAATATAAACGCTGTGATTAAAATTATACTTGTGGATAAACAAAGTCAATAAATGCTGTAGAAAATTCATGACATTGTCATTGATAAGAGTTAATGTATTAAAGATGCGGTACAGTCCGTATGTAAACAAAGGCTTTGTTTACATTTCGGTATCCAAAATATTGAACTTTATTCGACAACTATTTATATTTTCATGATTCTAGAGTATAATAAATTATCAAGACACAACAATCAAGCTTTGCAATCTTGAACATAAAATGAAATAAAAACCTAAATAAACTGTTTGTAAATAAAAAGAGGGCTCCTTTATGCACATGCGCAGATCGGACTGTACCGCATCTTTAAATAGTTGTCAACAAATACTTTAATATTCAGTTTCCCAAAAGTGTTGAAATTTATCGCAATGAACTGAAAGAAGCTGTAAGAAGAACAGTATTGCTGTAAAGATAAAATACATCTTGCTCCTGTAGTTACATGTATATCTGAACGTTTGAACTTCTATTCCAAGTAAAAATGTATTAAACACAATTATATATTGGGACGGGTGACGAGACGTCACGTCTGAGTGCAACGGCATGGTATTTTTAGTTTATACACTGTGCAGATAGATTTTTGAACAATCCTTCATCTAGAAAGCTTTCTAATTCTAACAACTTACAGCTTCGTTGCGATGAATTTGAACATCCCTACTTGGGAATATTTCAAAGACGAAGTAATTGTTGACAACTTAATAATACATCTCTGCATATTGCGTCACAAATTCCTTACAGTATTTGTTTATTTCGTCTCCTGGAAGTTTCTTTTCCGATCGCTTTGTCTTCCGTAAGTGTTTCTATTCAGGCCTGCTTTCTATTTATAAGACAAAATGGGTAAACTGAAACTTCCAATTTCGCAATTTTGGCCGGTCGGAACCACAGCAGCAGGGGCGTAGCTAAGGGGGGGGGGGGGTGCACAATAAATCAGTTGTCGGCAAAATAAATTGGATCAAGCCAATAGGCCATACCTGATTGGAGAGAGATTGTTTGTAGAAAATTTGTAGAAAATGCGAGATCGAAAAGATGGATATGTCGACTGAAAGCTCGGCCCTTTTCCGAACATTCAGCTAAATTGGCCAAGAACTTATTACGCTAATACGCTATTTAATAGTATTATATTTTCTTGCAATTTTGTGAAGTAGGCCTATACCATAGCTAGCAAATTCGAAGCACATGTGCGTGTTGACTGTCGATGTGCCTGCACTTCATTTCATAATCTTGTATAGCGGTAAAGGTCTTAGAAATTACACCTAACGGTCTTTTATACAATGAGAAATACGAAGATGATTTAGTTTGTAATCGGTCGTTTGATGATGAATGGATGTGCTTTTTCGGAACTATTTCGCCTATTTTAAAAATAAATTAAAATAAATTTTCTTACTACTCGGAGTTAATTGTTGTACATCACTTAAAAATGAATACGGTTCGCTTTTACCACACCCTAACCGCGCGCTAGCCACGCCCTTTTGTTGGCAAAAAGTTGTCTTGCACCCCCCGAAAAGGATAGTCTTCGCTCCGCCCCTGCACAGCAGATCATTTCCAATATAGCAGGGAAGTAACCAGAAGTTTATTCGAGTTTAATTTTATATTGACCAATCAGTGTCTCATACCAAAATTTGGTATGAAACTTTTGTTGGCACATACGGTTGAACAAGGTTTTGTATCAGGCTCTATTTCCAATTTTGAGAGCCTGATCGCAGGTTAATCACCTATCTGTTAAGAAGATACAACTCATACAAGCTATATACCTGTATATGTGGATTAATTTAGTTTTGAAACTCAGTTATCTCATTTGAGTTAACTTTGTTTGAGTTAAATTGGAAATAATTTTTCCATCAGAAATCCAATACTACATGTACCTGCAATTTGTTTCACAACACAAAATCAATGAAATTAGATTTTCAGAATTTGAGATGTAGAGTTCTTATCAAGGCATGTAAAGGCTAAAATTATGAAGCTCTGGGGTGTTCGCCCTAGACCCAAGGGTTCCACCCTGTGCCCTCTGGAGGGGTTCCAAACCATTTAGGTAAATTCAGGCCCGTTTCAGATGGCATACTTTTCATGTGCCGAACTTAATTGATGAATTAGGTACAGCAGAAAAGCGATGTATCAATCAAGTACGGCAGAATTTGGAACGGCAAAAGTTCTACACAAGTTCAGCAGAGCTTGTCGCATTATGTGACGTTGGAGTGACATTGGTTCTTACGCCGCTCCACTCATGTGCCAAACCTAACTCAATTTTTTAAAATTTGTTCTAGTATTAGATTAGCCTTTGTAATTTGAAATAGACTTATTTGTTTTTTAATTTTATATAGGTTTCGCTGGCGAATGCGCCCGAAGGCCCCCAACCTTGTCAATGGGCCATTCCATTTATTAAGCGCACCCCCCTATTGAGGGTTGTGGATATCCAGGGGGTCCAAAGAACAAAAATCCATTAGGAGAAAGAAATTTTTCAAGATATATCCATGGGTAAATATAAAAAAATCCAAAAAAAATCCATGGCAGTAAACAATTATTGGTACCATAGGCATAGAGTATGTTGTTATTTGTTTTTTTTTGGGCTAAGTACCAAAATTTTGTATGAACAATTGAGATAAAGTACCTGGAGAGCAATTGCAATGTATTCGTCTGGAAATTTTTTTTACCTAAAAAGTTGTCGACGGGGATTGGGGCAGGGAGGTCATTGTCCGAAAAAAAAAATCCAGGGGGAGAAATTATGTTACCCTCAATAGGTTAACAAAGGTTTAGAAAATCCACGGGAAATGTTAAAATGAGAAATCCACATACCCCATTACTAAAGCAATATCCAGGGGGTATTTTTGGTAAACCCTCAATAAGGGTGGGGGGTGCGCTTAATAAATGGAATGGCCCAATAACATTGTATTTGGCATGCCGTTTGAATCACTGCCGTTCTTGTGTCGCTGCTTAAGAGTACGCGGTCTGAAACGGGTCTCACTCTTCTCTGCAAAAACCGACCGAGCAAATATTTGTGAAAAAGACCTGTGAACGTCTAATTAATACAATGTTACAGCATTGAACGTCTTGCTAATTATCAACAAAATAGAAATCAAGAATATACAAACCTAAAGTTAGTTCTTTACTAGAGGTCATATTTTCACTCGTACTACTGAGAACAGAAAGATAAGCCATACGACATTCTCGCATTTCTTGTTCAAGTTTCATCGAACTTTGTGATGCCAGTGATGATTTCCGAGACATATTTACAATGAATGCATACAAGTAAACTAACAAATTTTTACTGCATTTATACAGATACTAACTTCAAGTTTATACTATTGATTTAAGACGTACTACACCACACAAGTTTTACATAAAAACGTCTATAAAAGCACGGCCAAAACGCTTGGAAACGGTCGCCATGTTTTTTGTTTATGTAAGGGTAGAAATGGATATTTGTGGTAATAAGGTGTTAAACAAATGATTGTGGCAGGGTAGATTTGGATCTTGTATAATTGTATAATCAAGTGTATAATTTCGATTTTTCGTCGAAAAATTATTTGATCTTCAATTTAGGCTGCTTTTGTTTAATTAAGAGAATGTTTTTTTGATAACACGCGCTCGAAACTAACGAGTATAGTGTATCACTTGGTTGAAGATAATCTAAATTGTTTTTGAGGTACTTCCTTGCAAGATTATGCGCGTGAGGCACTTGGCTAATGCGTAGTCGGCAGGGAGACAAAGGGTGTGACCACAGACACAGATAATAGATAATAGCAGATGTCTGACTCAGCCAAAATTGTGTCCGCGATTTTTTATGAGCACGTGTTGGCCGCCATTTTGGCAGTAAGTGTAATCCACGCCCAGGGCCGTAGCTAGCATTTATAGTTGGGGGGGGGGGGGGGGGGGGGCGTAGGCCAAAAATTTCCGAATGAAGAAAAAAATTTCCGAATATTTCATGGCATACGAAGCCACGAAGGTGTTTGCTATCTGGGAAATGAAGACGCAATTTACAAACAAAAATACGCATATTTTACGCACAGACATATTACAGAAGCATGTAGTGCGGTAGGAAGTTCTTTTTGATTGGGGGCGGAGATCGAGGGCCGAAGGCCCGAGGATAATTGTTATATTTAGAGTCTCTGAAATGCTATTTCCTGGACTTTGGGGGAAGTTTTGACAGAATTCCGATAGTCAGAAAACAGCGTTTTAGTATGTCGAAATTTACAATTTGCTTAGTAGTGCTAAATGGGCGAAGGCGTATTTAATTAACGTACTATATATTGGAAAAGACCGAGAAGTTGCAGGAAAGTATGGGTAATATGATTCTTTGCAGTTTGCCATGGATAACGTGCCCGCTTAAAATTAATCAATTGTCAGTATTTTAAAGGTATTTTATTTAAATGATAAAGGTCTGCCATGATTTTGAAAAAAGAATGATTATTAGCGAATT